AAATGAAATGATGGCAACTTGCAGCATGCTGCAGGCAGATGCAAATGCCGCAGAGCGCAGCCTTTTATTGCGCTCGCATAAATAATACATATACTCGTATATGTTTAACTGAAAGGCAGTAAGCTGCTGAAGACTTAAAACAAAGGAAAATAAAGAATATGAAAAAATAATGCAAAAATTAAGAAAAGCATGCGGAAAAAAACGGGCGAAAAGGGCAAAGCATAATAATTATAAGCCATTGTTGGCAGGCACTGAATGAGGGAGTGGAGCCGAGAGCCGAGAGCCGAGAGCAGAGCAGAGCAAAGCATGCATGGTGCGGGGGTGTAGCGGGGTGAGCCCTTGAGCTGAAGTCAAGCAGCAGACGCCATAAAGAGCGAAAAATGTTTAAATAATTTTATCAAGCGTCTGCGACATGCAAAGTGCATTTAAACTAGTTATAAAGTCGCATTATTTGCCATCAAATTCAATGCTCGATGCGAAAGTTTTCCCTCAATCTCTTTGTGCCCCACTCGCTCGCTCGCTGTTGGGGCGCGTTTTTCCACTGCATTTTTCTTAACGCACAAATTTCAGAAATTTTTACATAAATCTGCATGAAAAATGACATGCTCCGGGGATGCGATGCAATAAGAAAGTATACTCTGCTGTTATCAAAGCATTTCTTGACTCCCTGGCAAAACTATAATTTTCCGGCATTTGTTTTATGGCATTTAAATGCTGAACGAAAATTATATAGTTTTTGTTGCATCTGGTGGTGGGTGAGGGAGGGGAAAGCGAATGGAGTAAGACTTTTATTTACTTGGCAAAGTTATGCATTCATTTTGTGGTAAAATAAATAAGTAAATAAAATAGGATTCTGGAAAACGAATTTTAGCCAGAAATTCTATGAAATATGTAAAATCAACAAGAAAAATATGTTATCTAAGAAGAAGATAGAAAAGCAAATAGATTACGGCTATATGTGTATCCAGAGTATTTACCAAATTTTATGAAGACATTTTGCAAAGTGAGTTACTTGCATGGAAAAACAAATTGGCCACGCATGAATATAAATTCACATATGTATAAACAGAACTTAAGATGTGAGGGATTCATTCTACGAAGCCATGACCGAAGCATGCTTGGTGAGCAGATGTGAGGGTTATGCTTAAATTAGTATTTATACTTGTCTTTTTAAATCTCAAATATCATGCATGGATTTAATAAATTATACAAAATAATTATAAAATACTAAAAATATAAAAATACCACAAATTGTACCAAACATAAGATGTTAATTTTATTGAAATACATTTTAAATTTTTTAGCATTATATAAATTTAATTTATTTAATTATTATATATTATGACTAGGTAACTTTAGAGCAATATAATAAAATACAAAAATTGGATTTTATAAATAAATTGTATTTATAAAACTACAAATATACAATATAAAAATAAATAATTCCAACTAAATTTAACTAAATTTTTAGTAATCAATATGTTATTATATTGTTAGAATAGTTGTGTTTAAGCAATATTAATATTTATATATTTGACAAGCCGTTTTCAACATTCTCTTTCTCTGCTCTTATAAAGTGTGCAATCAATAGTCTTCAACACAAACAACATATTAATTTACTTTTTGCTCATTTCTATATTCATATCCACATCCAATTTTGCTCATACACTGCACAATTTATTCCATTCAAAGATTTCTGCGCAAGGCAAAGAAACTTGCTTATGCATGAAAACTGATTAAATTTTTCGGCAAATAATAATGTATACACATGTACATATGTATATATGAATGTGTGTTTGGATGTGTGTCTGTGTTTCCCAGATGCCTATCCATCGATATGAAGCAATTCAATTCAAGCTTTTGTGCTCGCCTTTGCTGCAAGAGATTGAGAAGAAATATATGAAATATTACGTATACGCAGCATGCGCGCCAAGGCAACAACATGTTAAGTTTATCATGCTTTGCTTTTAGCAGCCAACATTAATATCTATGCATGTTCTGTCTGTATGCATGCCTGTGTGCGTATGTATTCTGTGTGTATTTCGTCTATGATAAATGTGCATTGTGTTCGTTTGTATTCGCATTTGTTGTTGTTGCTGGTGTTGTATCTGCTGTTGCCGCTGGCAAAGTTGCTTTTTTCGTATGCTCTACATATTTTCAACGTTTATTTGGTTGCGGTTGCAACATTTCCTCGGCTGTTGGGCGTGGCACATTACAGCTGCATGCCAAACAATTCGTAGCTGCCTGTTTGACGCTGCCTCTGCCTCTGCCGCTGCAATGAATTATGCTCATGCAACGCATTCATTATGCTGCGTTGCTCTATGCATCCTGGACCTGTTTATATCTCTGTATTCGTTTTTGCTGAGCGTTTTGCAACACCGTTTTATAATGTAACCACGAGTCGCAGTGAGCTGTAAGTGTGTGCGCGCTATCTGGTCTTGGTACAAATCCACTTTGAACTTTATCAACAGACGATGCTCGACATCCTTGAGCGCCCCTCACCTACTAATTGCCTTTTTGGCTTTGCTGGCGCGCACTTTTCTTAATTTAGTTGTGCTACTTAAGCAGTTTAATGCCACGTCGGCGTTCGGCGGCCTCTAAAGACAAATTAATGACCCACGGTCGCACAATTGCGACCGCGCTGCGAATCCTGTCTGCGATCCTGGCGCCTGAATTTATGGCGGCAAAGGCTTCGCGGCCAAGCACGGAAATTGCCAAGGAATAGCGAGCCACAATTAAACGTCTTTAGCTAATGTTGTTGTTTTTGTTGTTGTTGTTGCTGCAACTTTCATCTTGTCGCATCGCGTTCGGTGTGCTTATCGCGTTTTGATTTTTAATTAAAGCCCAAGCCAAATGTATTTCACGAAATGGAATTTGCTTTATACGCCCTTAAATTGGGCGCACAAACAAATGCTAAATCCAATTATCTTTTTGGCCCGGCGCACAAATTACACGGCCAAAACACAACGACTAACCAATTGATAAAAATCAGTCTGAATGCGAATTCGAACGCGAATGTTGAATGCGAATACCTTGTTTATTTCCCAAGTTGTTTTCTAACTTGAACTTTCTGACAATTTTCTGTTACGTTTCCTCGTTACGCTCCATACTAAGCAGCAGCAGCAAATCGCCTAAATAGAATCAAATAAATGCAAAAAAAAAAACTTTTTAAATATGTAATTTGGCAAAGTTAACAAAAACCTAAAGATAAACAAATAAATGAAAAGCGGGTCGCTTTAGTGTAAACACAATTTATAACGACAAATTGCATTTATTAATCAGGTAATTTAGCCCTAAATAAAAATATATAAATATTTATTTTTAAGTAAATATAAAAGAAATATAAAATAAGGTGTTAACTTGTTACAAAAAAAAATAAAATAAAAACAAGTAAGAAAGCTCTAGTCGAGACTACTCGACTACGAGATCCCCTGAACCCTTGGAGTAATAGCTATTTCAATAATTTTTCGCGACTTTCAGCTTACACAAGAAACACGCACACACACACACACACACACACACACACACACACACACACACACACACACACACATACACACACAAGCATAAACACGCATGGGCGGCAGTGAGCGCTTACTATGAGANCGGACAGACGGACAGACAGACGGACAGGGCCAAATCAACTCAGCTCGTCGCCCTGATCAAGAATATATATACTTTGTGGGGTCTGCCACGCCTCCTTCTGCCTGTTACATACATTTCAACAAAACCATTATACCCTGATTTCCCATTGAAAATGGGTTCAGGGTATAATAAAAATAAATAAATAATAAAAAAAACTGGTTGCTTCAATGTAAACTCAATTTCGTAACGATCAATTTAATTAATTTATCAGGAAATGATTCATGAATAAAATTATATAATTATTTAACCTTAAATAAAAATAAATAAAATTTGAAGTCAACAAATTCAAACAAAAACTTCAAAGTATAAAAATTCCAATGTGAGTTTCATAAGCCGCGTCAGTTTACTAAAAACAGCCACAGAATTGTCGTCGTAACTCATTTACAATAAACAAATAAGCCAACAACAGCTAACCCCACCTTTAGAAGGGGCTAACAGTGCGTATGACTTACTTGAAGGATAGAGAGGGAAACAGAGAGAGGGAGAGGGAGACAGACAGACAGACTGTTGCTGTGATGTAATCTGCCCCCAACTAAGCCACGCACTTCATGATTCCTCCGCTGTTGTTGTTCTTTAAAGAAAAGTATTCAATGGAAGAGCGAGAGCGAGAGAGAGTGGCGTGATATTTCTTTACTTATGCGACTACGCATTTAAATGCCAAGCTACTTGGCCCGCTGTAGCGAACATTCATTCGTTATTTGCATAAATAAATTAAAAAGCAACTCGCGCATTTGCACCGCCCACTGTTTGGCTAACAGCTCAATTTCCACGAAAACAATTAATTCAACTAACTGGGACTCTGACTCTGCCTATTAAAGACGCTGCTAATGATGTGCAGAATGATTTGCGTACTTGAAAAGTTTACGCAACGACTTGAGATGACTCGCAATTGAGAGCTATTTTGAGTGGAGCTTACATAAGGACTTACTAGACTTACCTCAATTACTTTTTTGAAATTCCATTATATTGGAAAAATAAATATTACTAATTTAGTTCAGGGCAATAGAAATTAAATGGTGCTCTATCGTTGCTTATGCAATCCGTCTGCTTTAATCTCGTTCACTTTTCCTCCTTACTTATCCTTTTCAGCATGTACTCCCTCTCCCTTTTTCTCTCACCATGGCTAATCGCTCTCGCTCTGGGTGTCGATGCACCCTAGAATAGTATATATTTGTAATCAAATTTGCAAATTCCTTGAAATCATTAGCAAGTTGAGTAAATTGTTTGCGCACGGGTCGGCTACTTAATATGCATTTAAATAGAGCGTGCTTTATACGCGCCACTTAATTAATCATAGCTCAAGTATCATAAGCAAGCACTCACACTCTCCCCCCTTGTGTCTATCTCTTTTGCAGGCATGGGAGGCGCCATCTGCTCGAGAAGCCAGCGTCGGAGGCGTTGAGCACGTGAGAGCCTTGAAAAAATGTCCGCTTGCATGACAATTGTAGCGTGGAGGCATTCAGACAACGCAGCAGACAGCAGCGCCGTTGAGCGCAGCGTACGTGAAGTGTGTGCCAAGAACTTGGGGCAAGCAGCAGAATATAAGCAGCCACAGAGAGAGCAACAACAACAACAACAATAGCAACAGCAACAAGAACAACAGACGTGGCAAGGACGCTAAGCCACATGCAGCGCACAGAGCAGGAGGCTTAGCACCTGCAGCAGCTCAACGCAGACAGAAGAGCAACGCACGGAATAACTAAGTGAGTAGCCGAAAGCTATACCTAAAAGTATTTCCAAGCCCAAAAATAACAGACAGGCCAGGGCATGTCGAGCTCGGCTATGAAAGGACATCAAGTGCATTACTCAGCCACAGCATCTGAACAATGTTGAAAACTAACTGACTCAGGCACGGTGTATGAGAAAATGTTGCACGAAAAGAAAATTCTAAGCATAACCTCTTCACGTAGAAGCGCACAATTTGCCAAGAGCAATTGGGAATACATACATATATTTGACATACATTCAAAAATGGGCAAATAGCTGAACATCAAAATTGGTTGACTAAAATATGCAAGGCAAAAATTTATAGAGAGAATAGGAAAGCATAGACAACGAAGCTCAGAATATAAAAAGTGGAATATCAAAAACCAATTATAGTTTAATAAGATTATAGTACGGCAAAAGAGCAAGTGGCTGCTCCTTGAGTAATTCAGCATCAATTTATTTCCAAACAATTAAAACTGCTCAATGTCGAATGGAAGCTTTTCGCAATCTTCACTTGCAAATCCCAGCTTCGAGCTCAAATGTTTGAGCCATTAACCTAATGACCTTCTCTAGATGATGATGTTAGCCATGCTTAAAGCCCCGCCTACAGCCCACAAGCAGCTGCATCGGCCTCGTTGAGCTGCCTGACATGTCTGGCATATGTGAAATGCCAACTGTATTGTTGTTGTTCTTGTTGATGTTGTTGTTGTTGAGGACGCAGAGAACAACAAGAAGGGCAAGGACACTACAGCAAGTACAAACAAGGTGGCCACACACAAAAATAGAACAAGAAAAAAGACAATAAAAAAGAGATAGCATGAATTGAATGGGAAAGGAATCACGCCTGCAAGAAGACCGAGACAAGAGATAAGAGGGAGTGAGAGAGAGAGCTGCAAAGGACAGCACCGCCAGAAGCCAAGCTGAAGCTGATTGGGGCTTGTGCAAAGAGCTACTTCAATGAGGACTTTCAAATGCCATTGCAAACTCTTCTTTTCTCTATCTCTCGTTTTTTTTTTTTTTTTGTGATGGGCGGGCAAACCACGCCCAACAGGCAGCAGGCTGCAGGGCTCACTTTGCATAGATTTAAAGAGTAAAGTCGAAACGGGTTGCATGAGCTCTAGAATTTGCACATTTTAAATTGTAAACAGAATATTACATTTTCAGACTGAGTTGAATATGAAAAGCTGAATATGAGAAAATATTTTTCAACTTTTTATGGAATATTTATAAACAAGACACATTAAATGTTTTAATTTTTTTTTTTTTTTTTTTTTTTTTTTTTTTTTTTTTTTTTTTTTGAATAAAAGCATTAATATCAAATTCCATTTGGCTTTACATAAAAATTTCATTAAAAAAAAATGGTTAATTAAATTTAATGAAAATATATTTAAAAATTAATTTTAGCTTTCAATTTTTATCAAAAACTAAATTATTGAATTTTAATTAATTTCTTCATAACTATTTAATTTATTTATCATTATTAAAATGATTAAATCTAAATATATATTCTTGTACGAACGTTAGAATGATTCAATAATTTAATGATTCTAAACAATATTAATTATATCGAAAATTAAACTCTTAAGTAATTAGGAAAAAGTAGATGTATTTTAATTAAAGTCAGAGACACCGGCCCTATTTATAATCCTTTTATGTTTCTATGCCCTACAATATACGTATGCCCTATATGTATTTATTCAACTCGATATATGAATTACATTCTTCTTTGCACTTTACAGTTCGCTTCAGCTGGCAATTTAAAACAGGAAAACAGCAAAATAAAAAATTAAAAAAACACATTCAAAAAAAAAAAAAAAAAAAAATTAAAACAAACAAAGAATTAAGGGCACGCCACAAACAGTTGTTGCTGCGGTCAATTACAGCAACAGACAGCGGCAACTACTTTAACGACAGCAGCAACATTGCAACAACGCCATTTTGACCAATATTAATAATGAAAATGTTGCTGCTCTTGAAGCGACAACTGCCGCCAGCAGCAGCAGCAACTGCAGCAAGCTCAACAACAACAACAACAAGAACAGTGGCGAGAGCGCGAAGAAAACCATTAGGAGCAGAGCCTCAGCTGATGTTGTTCCTGCTGCTGCTGCTGCTGGGCATTGCGTGTCACAGCAGCAGCGGCGCTGGCATCAGCTACAGCAACAACAACAACTCGGCCAATCGCAGCATGTCAGCTGGCGGCAGCGGCGGCCTCGTACTGATTGGCTCCAGCAGCGTTGCGAGCAGCAGCATCGGATCCACAGCTAATGCGGCCACTGCCAGCGCTGTGCCCTCATTATCGCTCACTTCGTCATCCTCGGCTGCGTCATCGTACGCCACCTCGACTAGCAGCAGCAGCAGCAGCACCAGCACTAGCAGCAGCAGCAGCAGCGGCAGCGGCAGCGGCAGCAGCAGTAGTAGTTCATCATCGGCAAACCGAAGCAGTCGACTAACAAGCAACAGTAACAGCAACAACAACAACATAAATCATGATCAATTACCCGCACAGCTCTCATCGCGCATCATCCACACACGCAATGGCGCCATCTCGGGCGTAATTGTCCAATTAGATGGGCGGCATTTGGATCCGGTTGAGGCGTATCGCGGCATACCCTACGCCTCGCCGCCCGTTGGAAATTTACGTTTCATGCCGCCCGTCTCGGCGGCCATGTGGTCGGGTGTCAAAAAGGCGGACAGGTAAGTCAAGCCCAGACTAGCTCCGGTTCCTACATTTTTAATGGCGATTTTGAGCCGACCCAAGTTGCATGTGTGTGTATGTGTGTGTGTGTGACCGTCTTTAGAAAGTTATTCGCATAAATTTCAAGTTTCAGCCAGTATGCGTGTGTGTGTGTGTGTGTGAGTAAGGAGTGTGTAAAGTTGAGGAGCTGACGCGCTTTTATGTTAATCATACGACCCGTGCGCCGGCCAAGCAACTACTTAAGCGCTAGTTAGCCAACTGTGAGACAGAGGCTGACGTGCGCTGAAACCCTTTGGGATTGGGCATAAATTTGACTAAATCAAATATTAAATAGTTGCTCGTTAGGGTAAAATAGGATTTGGAGGGTTTTTAGGCTGATTTGAACACTGTTCTTGAAATGCTCTGAATTTGTGAGACTATAAAAATTAAGGTAATCGAAGAACAAGAGCCGAGTCTTGGCTCCAATAAAAGTAAATGGATAAAAGTTAAAGAAAAAGTAGCTAAATGCAATTTTAAATGCATCTAAAAGGGAAAGTTCAGTATTAATAAGTAAAAGTTGAAGTCTCAAGAAGGAAAGAAAAATTGGAAAAAGTAAGAGAATATGAAGAATAGTAGGAAGCGAATAGAAAAATATTGATAGGAAAAACTTATGATTGAATTGACTGAATGAAAGTAACAATGAAACGAAACGCTCGAGCAAGTGGCTGACAAAAAGTAATCAAAGATAAAGTACAAAACTCAGCATAAATTATTCACGAAGTCTTCATTTTGTAGTCAAGTTTCAAGTGATTTGTCTGTAGCGGCTTTTTATGCTGTAGAATAATTACTGCTTACAGCTGTTATTAGCCTTGGCGAGAGTCTTGTCTCGCAAATCAGCCCACTTCAATTCCATTAAAACCAAAATGCAGTGAATTATTTTCCTTTTTGGTTGAATAACTCCTTAAAAAGGTTATGCGCCTGCAAACCCTTTCGCTAAAAAAAAGATCTGCCATTTAGCTGCCTCTATTTCTTGCGCAATCGCAATTTAGCTGGATTCCGCTGAACCCTCGTCTTAATAATTTAATGCGGCCCGAAGCCAACAGCTCGAACCCCTTTGCAAATCTGAGCTGTCAATTTAAATACGCTAAATCATTTCGCAGTTACTTGAGCCTGAGAGTCTGCCGCGAAGAGGAGACGCGCTGTCGCGCCTGCCAGCAAGTACATAAAATGATCAAAAACCCATTACTTGAGGCCACTCCACAGGGTCGAGAGTGACCAGACGGTCTGGAGTGCGCAGCCGTTGCCTTCGACCGGCCTCTATAGCCCCGCAATTGTCACCTCAATTAACTTGGCTCATTATTCTCAAGTGCGGCTCCAAAATGCGAAAGCACAAATACAACAAAAGTACAACAGACTTGCAATAATGATGAAAATACGCGACGACGACAAAAAAAAAAAAAAAAAAATTATGAAGGAAAGAAGGCTAAAGGTCAGTTGTGGAGACTCCATGGGGCTTCTGCTTCTGCTTGAAATGCTACACAAATTAAATATTTACGCTGCCGCCAGCCGAGCGCCAGCTGCGACACTCGAAKAGCAGCAGCAGCAACAACAATAAGAAGTCGCGGCATCTAATTTACAAACGCTCCCAAGTGGCAAATCATTATTCACAAAGATTCCCACGACAACGTTGTCCTGCAACCGTATTGTTTGCTTTGTAAAAGGGTGCCGGCATAAAGTTGCTGCTCTCTCCCCCATCTGTCTCTCTCCCTGTATATATACTCTAACAAGGGGTACTTTAAGTACATCTGAGCTTAAAAAGTGCATAAATAAATACATTATTATTTAATAAAATATTTTTGGATTTTGTGCCAAGCAACTTGAAGCTTCTTCCCCTCAAGTTTCATTAGCATCTTTCTTATTTGTTGAAGCAAATCTAAATAATGGGCTTCTATACACATTAGGGCAGCTTGAGCATGATTTCCTGAGCGTCTGAAGGCCTTAGCAAAGTTAAAAGGTAAATGTGGTCACAGAGAGTGTAAATTTATTCTGCATTTTTTTTTATTGTTTTACTCAGGTTGTAATTAAAATAAAATTAAAATCCTTTTTCAAACGAATCTTACGATCTGTTGAATTGCTTACATTTCAAATGCTTAAATGTTTCACTTTCACTTACATATTTTCTCTTCTTATATGCATCTACCATAACTTTTCTTCTAATAAATCTGATCTAATTATATTTTTGAATAAATAAATAAAATCAAAATATTGTATCTTCTGTCTGTCTGTCACTTGCTGTTCTCATCTCTGTATATACTTACTCTATTTAATTTACAAATAGCATATTGTAGAGTATTTAAGATCAGCATAGTTTTCTTTTTCGAAATTTTCCGGCAATTTATTGTTGATATTTCCTTTTTTTATGGCTTATGAAAAAGTAAAACCTCTGAAAAAGGGACCTTAAATCAGAGCTGCGTAAATAAATAAAATTGTTCCGAATTTCTACCAAGTCAAAGCTGATGAATGACGAGCGGGCTGTGTGTGGCACCTGCTGCTGCTGTTGCTACTGCCACCAAATTTTCGGCTGACATCATCGCAATTGTCAGACAATCTCTGTTTGTCTGTTTGTGTGACGGCTCCCCATCGTGAGCCGGGCATTGCCTGTGGGCCCGTTGACAGCTTGGGCCCAGCTAGCCAATAAACTCCTTGAGTAATGTTCCACTGATTTTTCAGCACTTCAGCGTAATAAAGCTATTTGGACCATCAACGGACGGCCGGACAGCCAGACAGACAAACACTCAGACTCAAGGTACAAAAGATCATTTACAAAACGCGAAACTGGATACGTTACGGCCCATTCCTGTGGCCTCCAAGCCGCAGGAATTGCCTTGGCTGGTACTTGAGGCTTATTAGCTTAGAATAAAAAATAAAACGTATTTATAGGAGAATGCTTGGACGAAGTTTATTTGCGGGCTCAAATGATATTTAAGAATTTATGGTAGACAGAAGTCAGGTAAGATTGCCAATGAAAACTCAGAGATATGCGCTATTCTTATTTCTGCAGTGTTCTTAACTCTACTTCTTATTTGTTAGAGCAGCTAACGTGTTTAGCGTTACTAGCAACTAAAAAGGAACAGAATTTCCTGGTTAATATGGCTAGCAGACTTACGTTAAATGAATACAGATACAGATACAGATACAGATACAGATACAGATACAGATACAGATACAGATACAGATACAGATACAGATACAGATACAGATACAGATACAGACACAGATACAGATACAGATACAGATACAAATAATCATATCAGCTTATCCTAATTGCCTTTCTATAATCCTAATACCACGCCGCTTTATTTATAAACAATATTTCTATTGTTAGCTTTGAATCATTTCGCTGGCAAGGCACACAAATGACAATGCTCGCTCACAATTCCCATTCTGAGAACCGCAGCTTATCGCTTATCGTTTTCCGGAAGCAAACAAGCGCGAAAATTTGAATATTTGGAGAACAAACAAATCGTAGTTTTCGCAGGCAACAAAAAATACGCCACGCATATAAATTAGGCGGCGAGAAGCAAACAGAGGTCAGAGGACACAGGACATAGTTCAGGGCATAGCAGGGCCGAAGCACGACAGGACACGGCCAGACACATGCAATTTGGCATTTCGTCTGTCGACAGGTAGGGGCGTGGCTGTGCCATGGCGTCGTATAATCTGCATGTGGCCTGTGGACAGAAGGTGGCAACGTGAGCGTGACTGTGGCACATACAAACTGTGTACGGAGGCTAAAGTCAAAGGACAGCGCAGGACTCTGGCCAAGACATTCGGAGCGGTTGCCTCGCTCTGGGCTTAAATACATCAAACAGAAGCATAATCTCAGCCAAGCGGAAAAATGCATGCGCCTGAGAGGACGTAGCGAAGACAAGCTAAGATATTTATATAGATATAGAGTGGCCAGGGGAGGGTTGATTGAGGGGGTGAGCTTGGGTGGTAACCGAAAACGATATGCGACAGTGCGACCACGTCAAGCAAAATAGATTAATTTTACCTGTGGGCTACGTTGCAGAAGTCTGGCAGGAGTCGCTTTTTCCCTCTCCATCTCTGCCTTTTTCACTCCCCACCTCTGCCGCGCGCTGAGCGCTGCTGGCTCACAAATTAGATTGGCAGCCGCAGCCACCGTGCCACGCCCACCGGCTTCGTCTATGGTACTCACGCATAAAGCTTTGCCGCCGCAGTCAAATTAAATAAAATCCAATTTAAAATGAATTTTCGCAATTTCATTTACAGCGCAAACACAACAACAACAACAACAGAAGCAGCAACAACACCTTGGGCAACAGCAATTTATGCAGCAACAGCAACGCTCTGGTGGTGGCGGCAGTGCCACGCCCCTTAACCCAGCATTTTAGCTTGACTTGCGCACCGCACTTGAGTCTGAAATTGGAATTAGCGTTTTTAATGATGGGCACCAAATTTCGGTTCGCTCTCCCAATTTTAATAACTTTTCTCTCTCACTCGCTCTGCCTCTCTGTCTCTCTCTGTTTTCACTCATAGCCATCAAACGGAGCAATTATTAGTGCGGTTTCTATTAGAAAAACCGTTAGGCAAAGTTTCAGCTGGCAACGTTTATACGACGGCTATTTTCCATTTAAACGCTTAAGTGTCATGCATAAACTTCATACTGCCTCGGGCTAATTTGAGGGGGTGCAGGGCCAGCACAGGTAACAGGTAGCCCAAGCGCAGGACTTGTCGTTGTTAATCCGCTTGTATTTTATAATCCTTGCGCTAAAAGCAAAAGCTTTGTGACGTCTAAAGTGCCAAGTGCTTTCAAAATTTATTTTAAAACAACAACTGCATTCGGTTTGGCTTTATGAGGCAGCGGGGGACTTAACAGAGAAGTGCGAAACGGAGTGAGGAGTGGAGGGAAGTGAAGTAGGGGGAGGCCGGTTACGTGTGCTTTGTGTTGTTTATGTATATTGCCTTTGGCGGCTTGTCAAAGCTGATGCTGTGGTTATAGCCTTTGATACTAGTTGCAGCGGGTGCGGCGGCAGGCGAGAGTAATACGTATAACTAAATAAAATTAATAATATAAAAGCTTCTAAGCACTCTTTGAAGGGAATCATCTGTATAAAATACATAGTAATGTCGAAATATAAGTAATAAAAACGGCTTTTGAACTGTGATTTCAAAGATCCTTTCGCATTAGATTAGACGCTGAATTAGTAAGCTCGTTCCACTGCTCGTCCGTCTGCTCGTCCCAGCTGAGCTAATGAAGAATGGAGGCTTTCTTAAATATGAACTAAAAGTGAGCAACTTTTCAATGCGTTGGTGATTCCGCGAATAAATTATTTATAACTTGCAACGATTATATCGTGCGGACACCATATATCAGCATATTATCTTAAGGTTTTATTCCCACAGAATTTCTTAGAGCTGCAAAAAAAAAACGTATTCAATCGATAGATCCTCCCATCGATAGTTCCATTTATTGACTTAACTGTCTTCCTTGTGGGCTTATGTAAAACATTTTTATTATTTATTAAACAATTTAAATTAAATAAAAATCGAGGATGCAATAAAAACTTAAAATAAAAATAATTAAATAATATTCTTATCACAATTCAAAAAATAAAAAATAAATAAGTAAATGGAAATCAACTATAACAAAATTTAAAAACATATTAAACTTATTTAAAATTTTCAGTTTTTAAGGAATATTTTTGCTGCCCTATAACTATAACTAACTATAACTATAACAAAAGTTTGTGTGCACATTTAAAAGAAATTTTTTGTAATCTATTAAAAATTATAGCAGTGGGAGAACAAGCTATCTAATATTACTTTCCAAGAGACTAGCGTACACAGAGCCAAAAAGCCTTTTAAGTAAACAGTACTTACAAGACCTTTTCGCTCAGTGCACGGTATATGAACATAGAACGGATCCAATAACCCGATATATCGCTAAAAAGAATATTAATCGATACTATCGATGTCGGCATTAACGCTCTAAGCTCTAACAGCTCTGTCATCAGCATAGATATGTACACACTTGCTCTGGCTCTTCCTAATTTGATAAGTCTAACTATTTTCTATTTCCCTCTGAAGAAGATAAAGTTAGTTTAGTATTACTTTCAAGAATTTTTGACTCTTTCAGAGCACTGCATACGCCATACTCTTATTAGCCCAGCCAACTGCTGACCTTCGAGTCGTAAAAACATTGTTTCTTTATTATATGTCAAATGATTGCCGAATAAGCTTCATTACAACTCAGCTTCAGTGAAAACGCTGCAGCCGGAAGTAGTTTATGTGACAAAAGCTCTGGCAAGCGTATTAAAAACTTTACAGAGTTGTCAACTCGCATTCGGAGCCTTTATCGACTGTAGTTAAAATCTGTACAAGCACTAGTGCCGGCCACGCCCCTTTCACTGGCATGACCCCAATTGGGCCGCCCATTTTATAAGCTTAATACCCATTTCTCTTGCTGGAGACTCGGCTTATCAGTGGCGCTCCAAGCGAATGCAAGACCATGGGCGTGGCATGGGGCGCAGGGGACGGCGAGCACACAAAACTCACATAAACAAGATCGCATCCACTTGAAAACTGAGCACATTCGCACGCAGCTGCGGGGCAGCCGTTGATGGGGTTGCGGGAGCACACATTAAAAATTCAAAATGTGGCTTTTACGAGCTGTAGCTGCTGCCGAGAGTGCTAGACCCGTTGACTGGCGACTGGCGACTGGTGAGTGTTGAGTGGTGAGTGGCGCTGCGGCACGGGGCGTGTCACCTGCCATCAGAAATGTGTATTTGCAGCGGATAAAGGCAGCAACAACAGGCGACGCTCGCAACTTCCGCCATTCAAACTTTTCACTTTCATTATTTTTAATACATATATAAA